CGGTAGCTCTCGCCCCGCCCTCCCATCCAGACCGTGACGTCAAGGGGCCAGCTACGGAGCGTGGAACGCGGAGTCCACGTTTCCTAGGCAACGCTGGTGGGGCTAGAGACGTCTTCGTGTGCTCTTACGTCATGACGCTACTGTTCGTCCCGCGTTCCGGAGCCCGGTGCTTGGCCAATCCAAGGGGAGAGTGATACCTATTGAGTGCTGTGTGTCATATTTCTACTGGCCTTACAAGACTAATTTTGTAGATGAGAAACTGAGTTATAATATTTACGGAGTCCTTCTGGTCACACGGCGTTGAAGTGGCTTCGAGCCAATTCCCTCGGACTACCCTAGGCCGCAGCCTCAGGCCCCAGGTTCCTCCCTCCCCATCTGAAACAGCCCTGGACCCCTTCCTGCCCGGTGCCAAGGGAGTTTTGACGGACGGCCCAGAAGAGTCTCCGGCTTTGTTGCTCAGAGAGGTAACAAGCAGGGAAGGACCTAATCGAGCCGACAGGAATCTGCACGCAAATTCCCTAACAGTATGCGCTCGTGCGCACGCGCGGCACGCACATGGGCGGGGCCTCGATCTCAGGTCCCGCCCAGCGGTCATGCATTTCCTCTTCCGTTGAAAGGCGGGACCGGGCGCCCGCGGGAAACCTGGGTGAGCGGTGCTCCGTTAAATTCAGCTGCGGGGATGGCGAGGTTGAGGAGCGTGGTCCTGCGGCCGTGGATTCGAGAGCTGGTCCTGGGCTTAGAGCGACTCTCAAGTCCACGGGCCGGGCAGCTGCTTCAGGTGAGCCCCCCAACCCCTTAGGGCCCGGAGACTGGGGTGGGTCCCCAGGGCGGTGGAATTGACGCCCGTTGCTGTCGTCAGGTGCTGCAGGAGGCAGAAGCCGAGGCCCCAGGCCCGTCCTGCGCCCCTGACACGTCTGATGTCGGGGCCGCGCTGCTTGTGTCCGACGGGACCCACAGCGTCCGGTGCCTGGTGACGCGGGAAACTCTGGACGCCTCGGACTGGTGAGAAAGGCGCCACAGGACCGTAGAGGATTTGAACCCAGCTGGGCTCGAGGTGGGCGGGCCCCAGGCGGGCGGGACTCAGTTTCCGCGGCTAGGCTGTGAGGGTCGAGCTCTCCGCAGGGAAGAGAAGGAGTTTGGTTTCCGAGGAGCTGAAGGCCGGCTGCTGCTGCTGCAAGACTGCGAGGTCCGAGTCCAAGTGGCAGAGGGCAGCGCGGTGAGTGGTGAGGCTGGCTTGGGCGGGTTACTTGGCCTGACTCCGTGACAGCCCCTGAGACCCATCCCTGATTTCACCCCTCTAGCCCGCGGAGTTCTACCTGCAGGTGCACCGCTTCAGCCTAATGCCCACGGAGCAGCCCCGGGATTGGGTGATTGGTTGGTAAGTGGTGCCTCCACCCTCCAGCTGTTCTCCCTATCCAGGCCTGGCTGGCGTTGGCATAGGCCAGGGGTGGAGAACCTTTTTTCTGCCAAGGGCCATTTGGATATTTATAATATCATTCGAAGTCCATACAAAATTATCAACTTAAAAATTAGCCTGCTATATTTGATCAGACACTTAATTAACACATTGGGTACCGCATAGAAATCTCTAAGACATATGCCAGGGACCGCACGTTTTTGGGCAAACTGCACGTTATTTAAATCATCATAATGCACTTTAGGTGTTGTTTTTCAATAATTATAACATTTTTATTTACAAAAACAATTAAACAATTAAAGTTCCTAGTTTATTTTTAACGTATGGTACTGCGTAAAACATTTTCCTCTATGAAGAGGGACCAAACAAAATTTACATAAGTATCTAAATTCGCTCCTTTTTCCATGGGCGTGAAAAACGAGAACACTCGTGAGCGGTCCTTAACAGATGGCGCGCGAAACACGAGAAAACTCCTGATCGGTACGAAATGTGTTAACTCACCCCTAGTGCCTTGATAGGGCCAGATCAAATGATTTTGTGGATCTTATATGGCCCGCGGGCCAAATGTTCCCCCACCTCTGGCCTAGGCCTTTTGGGTGAGAGGGCGTGGGTCCTTAGTAACATTGCCTATCACCATCTTTTTCCTAGCAACCAGGACCCAGATGTGCAGAAGAAGCTCAAAGACTGCCTCGAGTGAGTCTAGAATTGAGTTTGGGCCAGGTGTGACTTGGTCAGATGATGACAAACGTGTTGACAGGCCTCAGGGTTGTTCCTCAGGCCTGTCCCCTCTGTTTTTGTAGGGAGCACCTTTCAGAGTCGGCCTCCTCCAATGCAGGTAAGTGGGGGTTGATCCTAACTCTCTGTAGAGTGACTTTCCAGCTATGATCTCCTGCTCCTTTAGTAAGCCTCTTCCCCACCCACTCTACCCTTATCTTCAAACTTCAGCCCAACCCTGCCCCCCCTGACTCTAGGCCTTTCACTGACCCAGCTTCTGGATGAGGTGCAGGGAGAAGAGGAGCATCAGGGGGCACTAGTGCGCCTGGCTGAGAGCTGTCTGATGCTGTCAGGCCCTTGCACAGCACCCCCGCTCACCCGCTGGGCCACCTCAAGCCACTTGGCCATGGTCAGTCTAGGGCCTCCCTTGGGAAATGTCAGGGTGAGGAGTTTGGCAAGGGCCAGGCTGACAGTTCACTTCCACAGGGAGAAGCTGTGTACACTGTCCCCAGCCTATGGCTACACATCTCTGAGGATGACCAGCAAGTCCTGAACTCTCTGGGCGCAGGTCAGAGGACACAGGGTAAGGACTGGAGAGGTCCAGAGGGGAATATCTGGGGGTCTGGTCCCCACAGTGCTGATGAGCCTTTCCCCTAGGCCCTGAGCTGCCCCCACCAGACCCCGCTCTTCAGGACCTGTCGCTGACCCTGTCCTCCTCGCTTTCCTCACTCAGTTCCTCAGGTAAGGTGGTGCTAAAGCCAAAACACTGCCCGGGCTACGCAGGAAGCTATGAAAGGGATGAACATGGCCCCTGGAGACCTGCCTAAGGTCATAGGTCACTCAGCTGGTCTGAGCTGAGAGGGCTATGCTCACAGTGAGTCCCATCTTCCCCAGGAAACCCTGCCTTATGCAGCCACATGTCATCACAGGAAAGCGGTGCCAGCGTCAGCCTTCTGCCTGCCCTGTCCTTGGCTGCTCCAGACACAGGGCAGAAGGGCAGCTCCCAGTCCCAGCCAGCCATCTGCTCAACCCCCCACCCCCTGCCCCCTAGCTCCCCGCAGCCCAGCCATATAACCAACTCCCCACTCCTGAGTAGTACCCCAAGTCTGTCACCTCTTGGTCACATCCCCAATTCACATCAGGCCGATGTGACCAGGCCCCAGCCCCAGAAACCTAGACTGGAGTTCAAGGAACTAGGGTTGCCCCCCAAGAACTGGCAGCATTCTCCAAGGATAAGAACCACCGAGGGAGTCCTGGAGTCCAGTCCTGTCTGGGTGAGCATAGTCCGCCTACAACTGGAGGGTAGAATGGGGTGAACCTTGGGTAGAGCTGGGAGGAGAGCTGGGATAGCCTTGGATGGGGTTAGGGGTCCTTCTTGGCCCCTCTCCAGACACCACATCCTCTTCAGGACCCACCAAAGAAGCATCGTGATGGTTCCGCCTTCCAATATAAGTACGCTCCACCCTGCACGTCCCTCTGTGCCCAGGTCCAAGCTGCCAGGTGAGTGCCTGGGGCGGTCCTGCTCTGTGTGGGAAATGTCTGGCCCAGGGGCCGTATAAGGGCCTCGAAATCATTTGGTCTGGCCCTGCCAAGGCCTTAGGGGTGAATTAACTAAATGTCTGGCCAATTATAGCAGGCTAGTTTTTAAGTTTATAATTTTGTAAGGCCTGAGAATGATGTTATAAATATCCAAATGGCCTTGGTAGAAAAAAGGTTCCCCAAACCCTCACCTACAGCCTTGGTTCTCTTCCCAGGCTCCCTCCCCAGCTCCTGGCCTGGGCCTTGCATTTTCTGATGGAGCCACAGCCGGAATCCGAGCAAACCCAGGTGTGAGGGGTCATGTGACCACGTAGGAGAATGTGTGCATATAGGTCTATGCCTCTGGGTGGACAAACAGTGCTCCACACTCTGCTTTGAGTTTTTTAATAAAATAATCTCATGCGGCAGGAAAGGAGAGGATCAGGGGTTGGGGCCGCCTCTTTGGTCTGTGGTTGGGGAGGGTGGACTCCGCTCAGGGCTGGAGGGCTCTGTATACTGTGGGAGCAGAGGCTCGGCTTCAAGGCCAGATCCTGCAAAAGGAGAGGGGGAGAGAGGAAGGTCAGAATTGGACTGAGCGGTCCTGCTACCCTAACAACCAGCCCAGCCCCTTCTTACCTAGGCTTGGTGACGGGGGTGCCTCAAGCTTTGGCCTTCGCTTGAGAACAGGGGACCGCTGCAGCCTTAAAGGCCGTTCTGAGGGACACAGAAAGGCTGTGGCAGGTTAAGTGCTTGCTGCTTGTCCCCACCCCTCTGCCCCCAGTGCGTGCCAGTGCACACACATGCACACACACGTTGTTGCTTCAGAGCCTCCCCTTCCCCTGTGTCCTCCTACCCGAGCAGAGGTTGCTCTTTTGGAGTTGGAACCTGGACTCATGGGAAGGGCTGTCAGACCCTTGCTCCCTGGTTTCTCACCCCTCACACCACCAGTGGCCCCCTCACCAGAGCCATGAAGGGAGACCCAGAGCCCACCCTCCTGCACTCAAGCACACATGGACGTGTCCCCTCACCAACAGGGGCCTGGAGCTGGTCCTCATGCACAGACACTGCCCGTCGCCCTGCCGAGAGAGGCCTCGGCCTCAGCTGGCCATCTGGGGGAGGCCAGGGTATCAGTGTACAGTCCCAGCAGCTGCCACCACTCCAGCCCTTGTCCCCTACCTTCAGGGTCCCCAGAGGAGCTAAATTCCCAGCAGGGACTCCTCCGGCCCCCAGTCCAGTATTGGGGTGGGGGCTAGCATGCCCGTTTACCTTCATTTCTGGGGCCCAAGCAAGGATCCTCTGGGAGGCCCAGGCTGTCTGGGGAGGGACTGGCTTTTCGTGGGCTGGGACAAGGGGAAGGGGGTCCTGGACCATCGTGTGGGCCCCAACCACGGCTCCTAAGCTCTGCATTCAGCTGCTGCCCCAGTGTCTTCCAGGTGGTGGACTCAGGCCCCTGGCTCCCTGGCCCAGGTCTGCATGAGGGGTCTGCAAGGAGAAGAGTTTCAGCCAAGACCTAGGCCAGGCATTGGAAGTGAGCTTGACCTGCATATTCCCCCACCACACACAGTGGCCCTCACTCACCAGCAGACACGGAGTGGGTGCGGGACTTGATAGAGATGGGAGGGGCCTCCGAGGAACTGTCCATAATGTCCCCTGCAAAGTAGGTCGGGGGGCTCAGGCACCAGGCCTTGGGGGTGAGGAGAAGGAAAACCTGGCTTCCCCACCCCTCTCCCAGAACATCCCCCTCCCCCAAAATGTACTGCCCTAGCCCAGGATCTCACCATCTGAGCCAGCTTTCTTGATCTCTCCATCTTTGCTCTGTAGGAAATAGGGAAGTCAAGCTCAGCTGCGCACCACCCTTACCCTAGCCTTGTTCTTATAACTACCACTAAATGTGGGCAACATGCCCTAACCGGTTTGGCTCAGTGAATAGAGCATCGGCCTGTGGACTCCAGGGTCCCAGGTTCGATTCCAGTCAAGGGCATGTACCTTGGTTGTGGGCACATACCCAGTAGGGAGTGTGCAGGAGACAGCTGATCGATGTTTCTCTCTCATCGATGTTTCTAACTCTCTTATCCCTCTCCCTTCCTCTCTGTAAAAATATCAATAAAATATATTTAAAAAATAAATAAATGTGGGCAACATGCAAACTCAGTCCTGGCCTTCTTAGAGTTCAAAGTCTGGGATGGTGGAACACAGACACACACAATGTGATTTCTTAATTCTCTGATTCACTTTCTATAATGTAGTTCTTATTAGGGACTGATCAGAGTGGCATTAGCCAGATAGTGATGGGAGAGAGTCAGGGAAGGCTCACGGGGAAATGCAGGGATGAATGGAGAGGATCCTGTATAACCAACCCATGGGTGGTGATGAGCTGGTTCGGGAGGTGCAACCAGGGTGGAGAGCAGTGAGAAAAGCAGTGACCAGGGCTGAGACCCCACAGGCCCTTGAGGCAGAGTTAGGAGTCAGGGCAGAGGCTTAAGAGAAAGCCCCTAGATGACTTGCTGTTACAAATGTAGGTAACAAGGTCAGATTTCTGTTAGATCTGCAGAGAAAGGACTGTCACACCTCCAAGGAGGATATAGCAGTGGCCTGGGCCAGGGCCGAAGCCAAGAGGGAAGAATGGTTCACTATTTTGAGGCGGAGGGGGTGGAACAGACCTGTGTCATGAATCTCCTCCCGGTCACATACGTCACCCAGAGCCAGCCACATGGCACCGGCCCCCTCACTTCACACTTGTGTCCCCCCCCAAACTCACTTGTTTCCTCTTCCCTTCGGCACTCCCGCTGCCTCTGCTCACGCCAATCCTCTGCAGCATCACTTGTACCCTCTGTTCAAAGGATGGGGTCAGTTCTGTGTCTCCTCGCTCCAGAGGCCGCCTCTGGGGTCAGAGATGCCAGAGTGGGGAGAGAGCCCAGTGCCCGCAGTTCCAGCAGAGCCCTCACCCCTGTCACCAGGCCTCACCTTGTCAGGTCTGGCACCCAATGCTGCCTCCTCCTCCTCAGCAGGCAGCAGTATCATTGAGTAGGCCTTGCTTTCCCGAGTGTAGCGAGGCCGGCTCCTGCGAGCAGGGTCAGGGCTGCCGGTGCCCCCTTCAGCCCCACCAGGCTCCTCCCCACGGCCAGGGCGGGCCGGTGGCCGCAGCAGGTCCCCAAGTGTGGTTTTTCGAGTGCGGGCAGCTGCCCCAGGGCTGGTCTCTAGATCAGGCCGTGGCCCCCGTGTTGAACGAGGCTTCTTGAAGGCAAAGAGGGTGCCCAGCTTCTTTCGCAGTGTACGGGGGACAGGGGTGGTACCACCCTCGGTGGCTGGGTCCTCCTCAGGGGCCCAGCTGTGGGAACAGCCAACAAACAGTAAGCAGGAAGGCCCATGCAGCAGCCCACCCGCTCCCACCCCCTGCAACTGTCCCTCACTCACAGGCGATCCTGCTGGATCAGCCTTTTGGAGAAGAATTCTTCCACGCCCTCATCCACTCGGGCACTGAGCCCATTTCCTTCCTGCGGCAACGCTGGGGGCACCTGGGGGACATCACACAGTCAGGTGTCAAGGCTGAGTGCAACTGTGAGTTCTTTCCACCTCCCGTGTCCAACAGTCTGCGCTGGGCAATTCCAGGAGCTGGGATGACCCTAGGGGGCTGCCGACATGCAAGCTCTCTCCCTGTCCAGCTAGTGGGCAAATACACTGATTTCACATACCTCACCCACAGTTGGCCCTGGACACACGCCCGCCCACACCTATTCTTGTCCCAGGGAGTGTCCTACACTTTCTGAACCACCCAGTCACTAGCAGGCTGGAGCCCACGCATCCCCTGGGTCACACGTTCTCACCTGCCACCCCCTCTACTCCAAACAGCTTCCTGCAGCGTCCCCCACCCCCACCCCACCCGGCCTGCTGCTGCTCAGCAGCTCGGGCCTGCTGCGTCAGACCCTCCGGGGGGCCTCAAGCCAGCTCCTCTTCCCCTTCTGCCTGTGCCCACTACCCAGCCAGTACCCGGTCCACACATAAACCTCCCCCCACACACCATCCAGATGTGCAGCAGACACAGGATTGTCCCTGTAGTCAGGGAGCCCAGTACCTCTCAGTAACCCTGAGGGATGTTGGATAAGAGAGCCACCCTTTCTTGCACATCCACCCATACAGCAGGCCAACCTGAGGCAGGGTTGGTTCTACACCCAGGTGCACCCTTAACAAAGCCCAAACACCCACGACCCCACATGGGTATGGCCTGGGGTGGGGGGTGGCCAGGAAGAATCCAGGATGTAGCCACATGACCAGGTGATTCTGGGCCTCCACAACCCACCTCCTTGCCCACCATCATCTGAGAAGCAAGCAGGCCACCCGCGACCCCCAATCCCTCCCCCTCTGGAGGGGGAGGACACTCACCTGAGGGCCCCCAGGCGGCGGGCG